CAGCCACTGAGAACGGTTCAGTAACGGTGTTGCCATAATAAGCAGACACGAAGGACTAAGAAGATGGACCATTGCTTGTGCTGTATTCCGCAGATTTGAATCCTAGAATTCATCTGCATGCACTTGACTACCTTGGCCGTGTGAGGCGTAGCTGTACTGAATGGGGACGAGATTCGCCGGAGCGGGCTGGCAGAGCTGTCCCTGTGATAGCAGGAGAGGGGCAGGTGTACTTTAAAAGGGTCAGTAATGCTTCATTGCAGTGCTGAGTTCTGCAGGCTCTGCCAGTAGAAATGCACAAGGGACTGTAGCCATGGAGTCTGTCAGCCATCTGACTCTGGGGCTCACTGCGGGGTCAGTGAAAGCCATGTCTCCCAAGGAATCCTCAGGGCAAGGGCGAAGCCATGGGAACATTTTGCCGTTCTGGGGTGGGTTGTGTGGGGCAGGCTCGGTTTTTGAGTGTAAGTGAGAGCGGCTCACTATGCCTGACCTACCCCAGAGTCTTCCCTTAGCAACAGAAGGTGTTTGAATTTGTCCTACACTGCTCACCAGTGCTCTATTCCTGAAGTGTTCTGTAGCATCTGCAAAGGTAGAGAGCAAATGTGTGTTACAGGTACGTTGGGACTTCACTCAAAGAGGGCAGAGTTAAGGTTATGTTGTGGGGGTAGCATGTACTCTAATGTTCTATTTCCTGCTTTTCATGGGAGTTAAGTTTGCACAGGGTTTCAGAGCAATCTGAATGGTAAAAGCAGCTTCTTATTGGGGGGCTGTATCTGAGGAACCCCTAGACCAAACGGCCACAACCTCCCACCACTAGCTCTGCCTCCGGCCCAGATGAAGCACAGCAATTTTCAAGACAATCCAGGTCCACGTGTGGATTTTAGAGCACACAGAAAGCTGGCAGTTCAAAAGGAAGCTAGTCTCAACTGCTCCAGTCTAACTCACTTCAGCCCGTCCTAGTCGGGGCATTTATTCGCTTTCTCCCCAGTGGGTTCTCAGATGTCTACTGCGGGTTGATTTCTGACTGAAGCTTTTCCCACACTTGAGGCACTTATAGGGTCTCTCCCCAGTGTGAACTTTCTGGTGCCTGGTAAGGTTTGAGCGCCGACTGAAGCTTTCTCCACACTTCAGGCAGTTATAGGGTTTCTCTCCTGTGTGAGTTGTCTGATGCCTCACAAGACCAGTCCTATCACGGAAGTTCTCCCCACACTCGGGGCAGCTATAAGGTTTAGCTCTCTCTCCGGTGTGGATTCTCTCATGTCTAAGAAAGGATGACCAGTTACAGAAGGTTTCCCCACACTGAGAGCATATGAAGGTTTTTGCTTCTCTGTGGACTCTCTGGTGGCCAATAAGGTGTGATCTCTCACCAAAGGTTTTCCCGCAGTCGGGGCACTTATAGGATTTTTCTCTCGTGTGGATTTTCTGATGTTTTTTCAGGGTTGGGATGCCAATAAAGTTTTTCCCACACTGAAGACATTTATGAGGTCTTTCTCCTGTGTGGGTTCTGCGGTGTATGATAAGGTATAAACTCCGACTGAAGCTTTTCCCACACTCGGTGCATGTGTTTTTCCCCTCCCCTTTGGAGGATCTCTGGTGCATCATGTTTTCGCTAAGATTCTTCGAACCACCTTCACATTGAGTGGATTTACCTGCGTTCTTCCCGGCCTGGTTTCCCTGCTGTCTCTCTGGCCTGTGCTGAGACCCACCAGCTTTTCCAGGCTCTGGACTCCAGGACACAGTCGCTTCAGATCTACCCAATAAAGGCCCTTGAGTTTCAACTTGCTCGGGATCTTCCTGCTGAGGAGTCTCTTCCACGTTCTCACTCATCATCTCCTCACCTGCTGGGACAGAGAGAGAATCCAGACATGAGTCATTCCCTGCGCCGGAGAGGGAAAGGAGAGAAACAAGCCCAAATAGCACTGGAGAAACTGAAAACTCAGAATCCTCCCCAAACCCTTTCCCAAGGGAGCGAGAGAAGGGGACGAATCTGGACACCACATCCCATCTGAACAATCAGAGGTAGTGAGGGCAGGAGAGAGGGAGCTACTGTTCTAGCGTTCTAGGAACAACTCTGACCTGGCTAAGATGAAGCAGACCCTGGGGGACTTTAGAAGTAGGATTGCCAACTTTCTAATTGCAGAAAACCGAACACCCTTGCCCCGCCCCCTGTCCAGAGGCCTCACCCCTGCTCACTCCATCCCCCTTCCCTCCATCAATCGCTCTCTCCCACCTTCGCTCACTCGCTCATTTTCGCTGCAAGGCCCGAGCAGGCACCAGGAGAAGACTGCAAGGATTTGAATGTGGGAGATGGAACGTGTGACTCAAATACCCTTCGCCTCACCAGGGAGAGATTTTAAACACTACTGTCAATTAAACTTTTTAACTTCTTCTGCAGTGTAAAGAAGATACAAACAAAAGAAAACAAAACCAGGTTTAATGAGCGTGGCAATTGAAACGACTTACATTTATACTTCTGTTCTTTTCTTGCTGCCACCACAAGCTCCTTCGCTGCTTTTGTCTTCAAAAATCCAGCAAACTCGGCACATGTCATTTTATAGTTGAAGTGCACGAATAACTGAGCTTTCAGCATGTCCACCTGGAGCTGATTCCTTTCGTTAGTCCTCAAGTTCTTCATAACACTGAAAATATGTTCCACAAATGCGTTGGTGGGTGGTACAGCAAGCACATGCTGGACAATTTTAAGTAAGTTCGGGGCCTCCCAGCGCTTAAAGAATTCTACCCATACCTCAGAGACATTGATTCGATGGTGGCGCTCTTGTTGCTGCGGGGACAATGTCGATTCAGCATCATTTGTCAAACTCTTTAGGGTTGGTAGCGCATCATTCAATGAGCACATTTCTGTAAAGAGTTCATCTCCGTCTACTTGAATGTCCCAGTTTGTAGTCAAAGCACACAGTTTGTCTAGCTCAAGAGGTCCGTCCAGATTGAGTGGTGCACACAACACATAGAAAGAGTTTTCGCTGAAATCAAACCACTTTTCCAGGTACTGCAGCATGCGTGTGTAAGCCCGTTGGGCATCGCCAACAAATTTATTCTGCTCATTAGGCGGCAGTTTCTTCAAGAACTGTGTCACCTTGTACCCATAGAAGCCTTGCTCTTGCCGATTCTGAATCTCTCTTCTCAGCCTGTTGAATATGCCATACAGTTCAGTTACCTGAATGAAATCACTTTCAAGAACCTTTATGGTGTTGTTAAATTGGCTCAGAATGTTGTGCACAAAGTAGATGTACAGCTCGGGAAGCGTAATAATGTCATCATCGGATACTGCGTCCTCTTGCTCGGAAAGAAAGGCCCATATTGCGCAGCTCACTTTTTCCTCTCCTTTGTTCACAAAGTAAGATTTGAGGGCAGGCCAATGCTTCAGTAACCTGTCGACGGCAGTGAAAAGGGTCACAAAACGCGTAGGTACATGGCGTAAGATTTCCGAATATTCTGTCTCCAGGAAGTCAAAGAACTCTTTAAGTTCACTAATATTCTTTGCACTGGACGAGAATTCACTGAAAACCTTGATGACCAAATTCTCTACATCGTAAGAGAGCATTTTCAAGCCATGTTTTGCTGTATTGTGCACTATGTGAGTGCTGCAATGCCCTGGCACAAGGTTTGGTAAATCCAACATTTGTTTTAGGTGCACCAAAACAGACTTGTGTTTTCCAAAATTGACAGATGCGTTGTCTGCGCCGTATGCCACAATTTTATTATGTATCAGACCGGCATTTTGAAGACATCTTCTTAAGTTGTTTGCGATTGCCTCTGACGTTTCATCTGCATCCTCGAAAAAGTCTACGATACATGTGCAACTTCCCTTATCTTTATTAAAGTAGCGGAGGGCAACTGGGAATAATTTTGTGTTCCCTTTATTAGAAGCATCTGTCACTATTGAGAATGATGAGGATCCAATGTCTTGCATGGCCAGTTTTAATGAATGGGGTGCTAATACGGTCTCAATCAAAGCCTCCGTTTTACTCCTTCCACAGTGAATTTTGGAAGCTAACTTGGAATCAGTGAAAATGGAGGGGTAGAGTTTATTTCCACAGTCTTGAGAATGGTAGCTGTGGTGGTGTGTAACTCCATGGTATGTTAAGAGCAATTCAGCCGTGCACACCTGTTGTTCTTCGGAGGTATCAATCTTTACGAAGAATTTATCAATTGGACTGGACTGGACTTGTCCTCGTACTTTGATTTTGTGACCTGCTGTCTCTGCATGATGCTGGATAGCTTTTACAGAATCAAAGTGAACCTTGAATTGAACATGACAAATAGAACAGTATCCCGACTCTTCGCTTGCCTTTGTAAGCCAATTCCGGTACTCTGGGAGTTGCAACCACTCGTCTTTAAAAGAGCACAGCCTTCGAATCTTTTTCTTTTCGGGTTCCGCCATTTCACCTCGCACTAGTGTTACTGCAGCACAGTTTAGCTGATAGATAAAACAGTGTTAACTGTGGATGGCCCAACGCTAACTGTGTTGCTGACCGTTGATGCCAGCTGACTAGGTCCTTAACTCTTTAAAGGCTAGTTGGTCCCTACTGCTTCTGACTGTGCACTGAAAAAGTTATTCAAAGATTCAATCAAATATATTGTTTTGACAGATATAGTACGCTAATTTCAGGTTTTATTTTTTACAGCACACTAGAGAACAATAGAAAATTATGAGAACTGGACTTATGGTGTCTGGTCAATACTTCTGACGGCACAGGTCCCCTTAAAACTGGACTTTTTCTATTCCATTGTATTATATTAGCTTCTATAATTTGTCATAAGCTATTTTTCTGTTTTCAGTGGAGCTGGAGTTAACACGGGTGTTTTGACTAGCGTGTGTAACATCCAGTTCTGTAAAGACCTCTCTAGATTTGCATCAGTTCAATTAGCACCACCCTGGGAACAGCACAAAGTGCTGCAGCTGCACAACAAACCGAAAACGGCATGCTTACAGCGTCACCGTTTTTCATGCTTAGTACAGTTTTATTAAGCCAGGACAAAATGATGTGAAAGCTATCAGATAACAATATAATTTACCTTGGATACCAGCTACTCTCAAGATTAACAAAACAAGGCACTAACATGTTACTATATTAACTCAACTGTATTAAGATAATATATTCAGAATTTTGTTTGAACCTTTAAGACAATTAAAAAACCCACCCAGAAGGGAGCAGGGCATAGTTTAAAAAATATCAATCTGCCATATATTTGTAAGATGGGGATTTTCAATGGTCACCATCCTGCCCTGACGCTTACATTGTCACCTTATCCCCATATTGGTGATGGGCAGTTGTGATGGGGTGCTACTTTTTATGGGTGCCAAGTGACCTTGAGATTTGTGACCATACCAAAAATGGTGGTTTACTTGCACAATCTGGAGTGAGGGTGACCCTTAATTTATAGGATTTGGACCTTCTACTAGAATAGTGGTTATTGCTAAATGTTGTACAAAAGAGGACACAAGCTAACTGGAGAAAATGCATGTAATAACTAACCCCCACCCTCCCCAAAAGCCATGTTTTAAAGGTTTTATATACATACCGATAAAGGGAAACAACAGCACATTACATGTAGAATTGGTTATAAAAGGCCCTAGGTAGATTTCAGTAACATCAAACTGCATTCTGCTAGCTAATTATCATTACTATTAAACACCCACCTTAGTGCAAAATCCTGCGTAGGTGCTTTAGGGCTCAGACTAATCAAGATGCAAGATTAGCCATTGATGCAGGTCATCTTTTCCATAACTCAGTTTTTACAAAGCTGCTACTCACTGCTTTTTACCACCGAGTAATTTAATTGGAAAAAACAAAAGGATCTGAAATACTGGATTAATTACATTCTTATTACTTGGGGACCAGCCACAAGTCTCACCATTCCAGTGCAAAAAAACCTAGCTGTACAGAGAATTAGATTAAATCCAGTGATATATCTTCTAGGTTATACCTTTTATAAAAAGTGCTACATGGTTCCACCTTAAATGCTCACACATTGAAGTAACGTTGTAAACATTCCTTATTTGTATTACAGTAGCACTTTCACCAGACAATTGTGCTAAGCAGTGTACACATCTGTAACATACAGATGGGGGGAGGAGCATTGGCCTGCTAAACTCAGGGTTGTGTGTTCAATCCTTGAGGGGGCCATTTAGGGAACTGGGGTAAAATCAGTACTTGGTCCTGCTAGTGAAGGCAGGGGGCTGGACTCGATGACCTTTCAGGGTCCCTTCCAGTTCTATGAGATAGGTATATCTCCATATATATATATACAGTCCCTGCCCCAAAGATCTTACAGTCTACATATTAGCCAAAAGATGGATCTAGACACAGACGGGGGAGCAATGGCAGTGCAAACTTCTCTGTGTTGCCCTCACCAATGTGCCTCAACTGTGCAGTGGAGCCTCCCAGCCATGAGGTATCTTGATGCTCTTGATTCCCACTTCTGTCTCTGTGCCAGGAGTGCCAGTTGTATCAAGAACCCACGTGGGACTGAACCTAGGGCATGATGCTGCAAGCGCTTGTTCACCTGAATATTCTTCTGAACCGAATGGGACTAATTACTGGCCTACAGCCGGATTCACACCCTTGATCTGGAGAGGAAAGGGTCTGGCTCCTGTTACCAGTTCTCTGAGCCTCCTAGTCTCCCAGCCCTTCACTGTTGGGAGACTGTTCTCCACACTAATAGATAAGGCTGCATTTTAGTCATGGGTATTTTTAGTAAAAATCATGGACAGGTCACGGGCAGTAAACAAACATTCGCAGCCCCTGACCTCTCCAGGACAGTAACTTTACAATATAGCCCCAAGCGAACTGACAACAGGGGCTCTTGGAAGAAATTCCATCCCAGGGAAAAAAACATTCTCAAAAAAGGAGAAGGGTTCAGTAGGTCAACCTCAGGGGGATAAAAACAGCTGGTGAACCCAAATCCCTCCAGCTTATTTCTCACAGCCACTGGGGCGCCCCTACAGAACACATCTGAATTGGTTGGAATCAGTTCCCAGCTGTAAACAGCTCACAAGACTGAACTCACAGACAAGCTAATTAGCTGTGCCACAAGGCCATGTTACTCACTCATCCATTGTTAGCCTCTCCTCTGCTCTGCCGCCTGGCTATCAAGTACCCCTCTGCCTGCAGCCACCCCCTCCCCGACAAGGGTTCATATTTAGCTCCTGGGTTTGGAGTTAGACGTTGTTAGATCTTGTGTGGACAAGGTTTTCCTTATAGAAGAACTTTCCCTTTACCAAGAGTCCTCAAAAAGAATTTTAGAAATTAAACATATAAATCCTAGTTGTTATTAAAGATCATGTATATTTTCTTAATCATGTATGATTGTACATTAACGTCTCTTTCGGTACTAAAAACAACTTTTTGACATTAATTTTACTTACATTTGCTGTCTCAAATTTAGAAGCAGAAACACAAATCCTGAAGGATTCAGCCTGAATCGTTCTGTTCTTTGAGCTGGACTTCTCCACTCTGTAGCTACGTTTCTTTGTCTGTGTCACCCATCACAGTAGTATCTAAGCACATACATGTTAAATTAGTGGACTTTTATAATCTCACTGTGATTTTTACTTTGTAATATCACTCATGAATACATGTGGCAATTTCAGCAATGGTGGGACATTTCCAAATCCTTGATTGGATTTAAAGTTTGGACATGTTTTTTAATTATATGCCCTGAACACTAAGGGAAATCTCAGTTAGGAATATCAGATACTGTGGTGGCTAGAGCAAACAGGGCCCTTACAGAACTTGCTTTTCATTCCAGCAGCTACAGGACCTTCATTCATTGCCTGTGCACTCTAGTTTGTTTGGGAAGTTTTGCAGCTTTAACAAACAGGTTTGGCACTTGCTTAATTCTCATCCCCAACCTCTAGCTTGCTCCCTGGCCCGCCGAGGCTAGCAAACACAGTGGGGGTAGCAAGGGGCAGCCCATAGCACTGCTATAGGCCCCAGCCCCAGGCAGGGCCAGGCCACTACACCAGGGCCCGGGATCAGCAGGAGCCAGGGGTCTGAGGCCAGAAGGGCCCCACTGGTGAGCTGGGAGGAAGCTGAGGCATGCAGTGCCGGCAGGATGTGGGGCCCTACGGGGGAGAATGTGCAGGAGTCCCTGCTGGCCACAGGGCCCTGAGAGGGGCTGTCTTGTCCGCCTCCCCTCCAGCAGCCCCATTCCCAGAGCCCCTTGCAGCGCTCCGAGATGGGGATACCTCGAGCTCCTGGGTGCCGGCGACGGGGAGACAGAGTGCAGGGTCGCCACCGGGGCATGCACCGCAGTTCAAGCCTTAGCCAATGGGAGCTGCACCTGCAGGCCGGGGCAGCATGTGGAACCCCCCTGGCCACCCCTCTGCCTGGGAGCTGGACATGCCGGCCGTTTCCCGGGAGCCGCACGGAGCTGGGCAGGGAGCCTGCCAGCCCTGCTGCACCTCGCCAATGGGACTTTTAACAGCCCGGTCAGCAGTGCTGTCAGCCACCAGGGTCCCTTTTCGACTGGGTGTTCTTGTCGAAAACCGGACACCTGGCAACCTATTTAGAAGGCACTGGTGGGAGTCACAGCTTCGCTTGCTGATACTTTACTGTGTCAAGTTATTTGATTCCTCACCCGTGCAGCACCTCTCAGCAGCTCCCTTTCGTCAGAGGCCCGGAGCGCCAGAACCCCTGGATCTTCACCCCACTCCAACCGGGAAAGAACGTCAGCCCTGAAAATCTTGCTATGGGGAAAGAGAACAACGAGACCTGATGAATCTGCGGGATATTTCTCACAAAGCATGTTCCGTGATTTTAAACCTCAGCCTGTTTTAAAGCAGTAAAATCCTAAAAACACACTCAGCAGTATGTCTTCGTCAGTCACATTTCTTTCCAAATATAGACAAATTCCTGCAGTTCAAAAGGTGTATGTATGGGGGGAGGGGGATCTGAGAAAAAGTTATATAAACATTTTAAAAATAGCGGGAAAGGGGGCAAGGTGTGAGGAGGTTTGTTTTTTTTAAATCAAACTTTGAGGATGAGATGGAAAATGGCAAAATCTGAGGAGATTTGATATTAATAGTCGATTACTGGAGAAAAATGTGAGGGGATTTTATGTCCTTATTCAATAACTAGGGAGAAAAGAGGCAACTACAGGGGAGTTTAGATCAGTACTGAGAATCGGAGTGGATATTCAATAAGTAATAGATAAGATGGTAAGAAAATCACAGGTTGTGACTTTGTTGCAGAAAGCACAACTTTCAGCACACACTCCAAATGTGAGCGATGTTGTGACCCCGTGCACCAGATCACAACACCCGCGGGGTGAGGCCTAGGGTGGAGTGTGGGGGTTGTCCCGGGCCCCGCACCTCCCTAGGGACAACCCTGGTTATTACATGGTCCTGTCATGAGTGCAGGGACTAGGCTAGATGACCTCTTGAGGTCCCTTCCAGTTCTACACTTCTATGATTTTATGCCATATTTTCTCTTCTTTCTGCCTTCCCCCCTTTCTTGCTGTTTTAAAACTTTCCCGATTCTCTCTGAAAGGTGGCTGTCCTTCTGTAGTGTGTAACGAGGTCTATGATTATAGTTTCTCTGTCTATCACTCATATTTGGTGACCTTTGTGAAATTGTTTAATCAACTTTATTTAGAATGGCATTAACCACAGACTTCATGCATCTGCTGAAGTGGGTTTTAGCCCACGAAAGCTTATGCCCAAATAAATTTGTTATCTCTAAGGTGCCCCAGGATTCCTCCTTGTATTAACCACATTAAAATTATTTTTCTCTAAAACTTCTATATCTGTATTAATGCTTCTTTATTCTGCTGTTCCTAAGGTCTGGGCTATAATACAGACTTACATCAATCCATACCCCGAACGACATTGTTATATCAACCTAACCCCTAGAGTAGCCAATGCTATGCCAGTGGGAGGGTCTCCCGTCTCCTCTCCCGGAGGTGGATTCATTACGCCGATGGGAAAGCGCTCTCCCTTCAGTGTAGAACATCTTTACATTAAAGTGCTGCATCAGTGCAGCTGTGCCAATGCAGAGTTTTACCTGCCCTACGATTCTGTAAATTAATTAATGACTTTAGAAACGCACAGACTGCATTAAAATTCATTTTCTCTAAGAATGCATGTTAGCCCTTTATTCTTCTGTCATTATGACTATGAACACCTGTTTGCTGGACTTCGTTTAGAATGGCACTAAATGTACAGAAACCATATATTTATAATCTCTAAAAATGAGGAAATGGCATAAACACTATATTTATTCCTTTCACTGTAATGCTTCCAATAAGGATACATTAGGTGGTGAAGGGAGGTGATGGAGGGCTCCTTTATATCCCAGGTGAGCGCTCTGACCACCGGGCTAAACGCTGCCTCGTCCTCCCTAAAGTGGCCCAGGCCCCGAAGGCCAAGAAAGGGTTTGCGGTTGAGATTCCCATGGAGCGGGTTTTTAGGGATCTCTTTCCAAGAGCCGAGCGGGGCCCCATCGCATTTTTAAAAATAGGACTTGGGCGCCTTTGAAAAACTGAACCATCCACCCTCCCTGCCAGGTCCGCAAAACCACTTCATCGTCCACTGAACTCATGGAAACTAGGGGGTCCGATTGTATAGGGACAGTCCCGACATTCAGGGCTTGTTCTAATATAGGTGCCGATTACCCCCCCACACACACAACACACACCACACAACACAACACACCCCCAGTCCCGAATGTTCACACTCGCCATCTGGTCACCCCCACAGGAGCCTACATCTCCGTGGGGCTCCGACCCCCAGGCTCGCCCCCCGCTGCAGCGAGCCCGGCCCTGAACACGGGTTAGGGCCCTGCCATGGGGCAGCGTGACCAGAGACTGCGGCGGGGCCGCCCCCGGCCCCATAACCCGCCCCCCGGGCCCCACAGCCCCCCGGCCGGTATCTCCACGCGGGGGGGGGGCGAGTCTCACCTTCGCTCCGCGCTGGGGCTCCGGGGCTCTGCCCGGCTCGGGGTCCCGCCGGGGACCGGCCTGGGACGCAGCAGCCGCGGGAGGGTGGCGGGGACCCGGGCGGGCCGGGGCTGAACGCGGCAGTGAATCCGAATCACTTCCTGCCGCGGGACCCGTTTCCATGGGACACAGACCCCGCTGCTGCTCCTGGCCCGGCCCCCCTGTGCCCGGCCGGGGGACCCAGCCCCGGGCGCTGCCCGACCCGGAGCCGGGGTGAGGGAGGGGCGGGAGCGATGGGGGGGTCCCCCGGGACGGGTTCGGGGGGGACGCGCTGCCCCGGGGAGGGTTCGGGGGGGGAGGGACGCGGTGCCCCGGGGAGGGTTCGGGGGGGGGGACGCGCTGTCCCGGGGACGGGGTCGGGGGTCCCCCATTGCGGCTCTTTGGTGCTGCTCCGTCAGCGCCGCGGGTGTAACGGGAGCCGCGGAATCGCTTCTCACCCCCCGGGTACCAGCCGCGTCCCCAGGCCTGGGCACCCCGTGCTCATCCCTAGGGCCGAGTCTGGCTTGGGATGGAGGTTTGGCGAGTTGGAGGCACATACAAACAGTCTGCTTTGGAGAGGGGCCAGAGAAAACAGCTGTGGGGTGGGACGGGGGAGATAATATTTTTCTAATTAAAAACTCTTTTTTCTTTTTCAGCAGCGTTAGTGCCTTTTGGGGATACATTTTACCCTGAGAATCCAAGCCAGGCTCTCAGCCCTGGACCCCCTGTGGCAGGCTCAGCACTTGTGAAAATCAGGCCAGGTACTGAGAGAGCTGGGTACGGATTTAGGAGCCGAAATGTAGATGCTTTTTCATAAATTTTAACTCAGCCGTTTCCCCAGGCCAGCAGAGTCTAGAACAGCTGTCTGCAGGGGAAGAATCTGAGGATGGAGGATTTAAATGGACATAAGCCCCTTCTGAAACCTCCAATTTCCCTTCTCTCCCGGTCAGGCTACAGAATCAGGTCCACGTTTCGCTGGAGATCGTCCCATCCTCCCAGGGAAGGGAAATGGCTGCAGCGGAGCCGGTGACCTTCGAGGAGGTGGCTGTGTATTTCACGGCGGAGGAATGGGCCCTGCTGGACCTGGGTCAGAGAGCCCTGTACAGGGACGTGATGCAGGAGAATTATGAGACCGTGACCTCGCTGGGTAAGGATTCCTGTCCCCTCGGGTATGAGAAGCATCTGGGTCAGATTCTGTGCAGGGGTCTCCACTGGTCCCCCAGAATTCAGGCGGATCAGGCCATGTAATTTGCAGCTCCTGTGTGTAAGACACTGTCCCTGGGTCGGGGGATGTTCTGGACAGCAGTGGCCATAAGCTGATGATTGTGGGGAGAAATGGAAACTTATAGGGGGTGAGGGATGGGGACAGCTGCAGGAAGGCAAGTGGTAGGTGGAGGGGAATGGGAGTTAGGGGGAGGGGCAATAGAGGGCACAGAGAATCCCTGTCATGGGGGAAAGATGAATTGAGAGTAGGGGGAGATGAGGGGCACACATAATCACTGGAGGGGAGAGATGGCATATAGGGAATAGGGGGCAGGGGGGATGGGGAGAGGGGAAAATGGGGGCATGAAGAGCCCTTGCCATGCAGGAGAATGAGGAGCCCTGCTATGGGCGGGGGAGGGAATGGGGCACACAACACACTCCCTGGAAAGGGGTGACGGGGGCTGCCGTGAATCTCAGAAATAAAGGGGGATGGAAGGGTGGCACATAGGGAGCGTATGGAGGAGGAATGGAGGGATGCCAGGAGCCCCCGGTGAGTGCAGTGAGCTCGGTGCGTGACCAGAGTGATGCGGAAGCAGTGTGGGAGCTGTTCTCTGCACAGACACAAGAGAGGAAGGCTGCTCTCCTCTTTCAGGAACTGGCCTGGGACTCAGGAGACGGGGCAGATCCCTGGTTGTGCCACAGACTCCTTGTCTGGGCTCTTGTCAGTCACTTAGGCTGAAAGTCCCAGCTGTGGTCTCTCTGGGCCTCAGTTTCCCCTCTGTGAAATAGAGGTAAGAATCTGCCCTTTGTCTGGCTCGTCTATTGACAGTGAAAGCCCTTTGGGGCAGGGACTGTCTCTCACTGTGTGAATGTTAGGGGCCTGCTGTCAGAGGAAGGGTGGCCCAATGGTTGGGCACTGACCTGACACTCTGGAGACCCAAGTTCAATTCCCTGCTCTGCCCCTGACATCTTGCCTGACCGTATGCTAGTAACTTGGGGCTAGATTCAGAGAGGAACTTAGCTGTGGTGACACTGAGAGTTGCTAGGTTTAGCTGCTGGGACTCACAAAGCCTACATTATGTGCCTGCACTCCCTGTCATGAGGAGAGATGGCACATCTGGATGGGATTCACAACTCCCAGCAGCCTAGGTGGCTTCCTCCCCTAACCTAGCCAGCTAGAGATGCCCAACAGAGGGCTGTTTGCTCAGCCCTGCCCCTCCCTCTGAAAGAAACACCTAAATCCAGTCTGCAGGGAGGCATCTTGCTCTGCCTTGGACTCTCAGCTGCGGGCAATCTCCGGCTGTCGCCCCCTCTGTGCCAGAGATCTCTGGTGTCTCCTAGTGCTCAGACCCTGTGGTAATGGTAGGGGACAGACCGATAAGTACCACTCTCAGCACAAAGGGGCCCTTATTCCAGTTGGGGATTCCAGCTCCTGCTGTAATTAATACTCTCTTTCCCTCCTGCAGCAGCAGCAGTGGCAAAGGGTAACAAGAATTCCTTGTGCCAAACTCCCTGTCTCTGCTGGGGTTCTCCATCGTCAGTGCTCCACTGTTGTCCCTCCCTGCTTTAGCAGACACCCCAGGACTGTGGGGGGCTGTAGGGAGGGGCTCTGCAGTGCCAGACGGTCGACAGCAGCAGTGGGGAACTGATTGTCATGCCTGGCTAATTTCTTTTGCTCCTTGTCCCATGGGCTGTGTGGAGTTTGCATTCAGTCAATGCTGCCATTGTTTGAGGTTCATGAATTTCCAGCCGTGAAGCACGATGGGAACTTTACAGGGCTTTGTGTCTGCGTGTGAGTCGCGCTCTGAGCAGAGAGGTTACTCCGGGTCTCTGGGGCTGTGGTGCACAGAGTAGCTCGAGTGGATATACAGGGCAATTCTGGCATTTGACATCCGTGCCCAGTCCAGGGTGTCGCCAGCTGCGCTGTGGGAGCAGAGAGTTCCTGGAAGGAAACGAGCTGGACAGAGTGAGGGGAGGATTTGTGCTGCTGTGTCTGAGGAATTATCTGTGCGGTTGTCACTGTCCCCAGCGCCATGAGCCCGGTTCATCAGCATGTCAGACAGTGTCTCTTCCCCTGCTACGGGGAGCGTTTGGGAATCAGTGGCTCTGGAAAGGGCCAAAGGGTCGTGGTGGAAGCCCTCTGAATACGAGCATCCAGTGTGATGCTGTAGCTAAGAGAGTTAAAGTGATCCTGGGGAAGCTAAACAGAGGACTATGAAGTAGCAGTAATGAGCGGCACTTCATTAGTTCGTCATATGGCATTAATTAGACCATTAGTGGGAACGGCGTCCAGTCTGGTGTTCACACTGCAGAAAGGATGTTGACAAATTAGCACGGGTTTAGAAAAGAGCTACAAGAATGATTAGAGAATTAGATAACGTGATTTATAGTTTCATAGTTTATAAGGCCTAATCGGATCATTGTGATCATAGAATCATAGAATCTCAGGGTTGGAAGGGACCTCAGGAGGTATCTAGTCCAACCCCCTGCTCAAAGCAGGACCAACCCCAACTAAATCATCCCAGCCAGGGCTTTGTCAAGCTGGGCCTTAAAAACCTCTAAGGAAGGAGATTCCACCACCTCCCTAGGTAATGCATTCCAGTGCTTCACCACCCTCCTAGTGAAATAGTGTTTCCTAATATCCAACCTAGACCTCCCCTACTGCAACTTGAGACCATTGCTCCTTGTTCTGTCATCAGGTACCACTGAGAACAGCCGAGCTCCATCCTCTTTGGAACCCCCTTTCAGGTAGTTGAAAGCAGCTATCAAATCCCTGCTCATTCTTCTCTTCTGCAGACTAAATAATCCCAGTTCCCTCAGCCTCTCCTCATAAATCATGTGCTCCAGCCCCCTAATCATTTTTGTTGCCCTCTGCTGGACTCTTTCCAATTTTTCCACATCCTTCTTGTAGTGTGGGGCCCAAAACTGGACACAGTACTCCAGGTGAGGCCTCACCAATGTCGAATAAAGGGGAACGATCACGTTCCTCGATCTGCTGGCAATGCCCCAACTTATACAGCCCAAAATGCCGTTAGCCTTCTTGGCAACAAGGGCACACTGTTGACTTATATCCAGCTTCTTGTCCACTGTAATCCCTAGAACTGCTGCCTAGCCACTCAGTCCCTAGTCTGTAGCAGTGCATGGGATTCTTCCTTCCTAAGTGCAGGACTCTGCACTTGTCCTTGTTGAACCTCATCAGATTTCTCTTGGCCCAATCCTCTAATTTGTCTAGGTCCCTCTGTATCCGATCCCTACCCTCCAGAGTATCTACTACTCCTCCCAGTTTAGTGTCATCTGCAAACTTGCTGAGAGTGCAGTCCACGCCATCATCCAGATCATTAATGAAGATATTGAACAAAACCAGCCCCAGGACCAACCCTTGAGGCACTCTGCTTGATACTGGCTGCCAACTAGACATGGAGCCATTGATCACTACCCGTTGAGCCTGACAATCTAGCCAGCTTTCTATCCACCTTATAGTCCATTCATCCAGCCCATACTTCTTTAAGTTGCCAGCAAGAATACTGTGGGAGACTGTATCAAAAGCTTTGCTAAAGTCAAAGAATAACGCGTCCACTACTTTCCCCTCATCCACAGAGCCTGTTATCTCATCGTAGAAAGCAATTAGGTTCGTCAGGCATGACTTGCCCTTGGTGAATCCATGCTGACTGTTCCTGATCACTTTCCTCTCCTCTAAGTGCTTCAGAATTGATTCCTTGAGGTGAGGCTGACTGGCCTGTAGTTCCCCGGATCCTCCTTCTTCCCTTTTTTAAAGATGGGCACTACATTAGCCTTTTTCCAGTCATCCGGGGCCTCCCCCGATCGCCATGAGTTTTCAAAGATAATGGCCAATGGCTCTGCAATCACATCCGCCAACTCCTTTAGCACCCTCGGATGCAGCACATCCGGCCCCATGGACTTGTGCTCGTCCAGTTTTTCTAAATAGTCCCGAACCACTTCGTTCTCCACAGATGGCTGGTCACCTTCTCCCCATACTGTGCTGCCCAGTGCAGCAGTCTGGGAGCTGACCTCGTTTGTGAAGACCGAGGCAAAAAAAA